GGTGGTGGTGGTGGTGGTGGTGTTCTTGTTGGGGCTGCTGAACTCCATCATCCATGTTGGGCTTCAGCTTTGGCGGATTCAAACGGGCTCTTGGGAGCGCAAGCCGTGAGCCCAACTCCATGAACAACCAAAATCCAAGCAAGGTAAACTCCTGGAATCCCAATGCGTGAATATGTTCAAGCCTGAAGTCCCGAGGCCCTGCTCCAAGTTCTTACCGCCCAAGCCCCCGGGCCACCAGAGCCCAAACCCTGACACCTGGAATTCCAAAACATCTCAATTCCTCGAGCTTTGAAGCTTCAAAACTCGCATCAAGTCAGGTATTGTAAGCCCTGAATTCTGGACACCAAACCTGCAGGACCCTGGAAAGCTGTCCGATTGCAAAACCAACAAAACGCAAAAAGACATTACTTAAAATGGGCTGGAAACCGCAGCGATAAAGCAACTCACCAATGCACGAATGAATACAGCCAGCGTTTTCAACAGAACAAAGGATTACATTACTGGTTTACTGCTTGTAGCAAGTAACAAGCACAGAACCTCGTACAAGTCCAAACAACTTGTTGTCCTTTCTTTGCTTCAATATGTGAACAAGCAAGTTATGAGAAGGACGACTGTGCCTGGTAACCAGATGCTGGGCAAATCCAAGAGATCTCGAGTTCGAAGTCCTTGTCCTTCTCATCATGCACCTGCTCTCAAAAAAAAACACCAAGGACAACTTGACCGAGCAGCTTCTTTTTGTCAACCCTGCACTTCATCCCTACTTCATGCTCCTACCACAGAAGGGATGATAACGTGCGGCCTTGTGAATGATCTTGGCGACCTGAGCAAAACCACAAGCAACCATCTGGCGCCCGGTGCCCGCCTGGTGCCTGTTTCTTCGAAGGTGTCAGAGCAGGTCAGTGAAACAGCTGAGGCCGCAGCATGGACGAGGGCTTGCTCGCAGGTCAGGTTTGGGTTGTTCCTCTGACAGGCACTTGCTAACTTTGAAACTTGCAACCGGACCATGCGGTACGCAGGCATCGAATTGAAAGCTTGCAGTGCGCTGGGCAGTGTGGGACTGGCACATAGGGCCCTGACGGGCTTTCTGGATCTGTTCCGAGGCTCACGCGCCAGGACCTTCTCGATCTCGGTCTTAGCTGCCTGCTTGCCTGGCAAGTAGAAAAGCCTAAGAAAAACATCAAAACAAACGGCTTCAATCGCCTGCGTGCCTCCATGGCCTCATGCCGAACTTTGCGGCTCATCGAGCATATGACTGATATACTTTACCCGCTTGGCCTAGAGTACGTGACGTCAGGCTTGAGGACTACTGACTCTTCACCGCTCTCAAGACATGGCCCGCAGCACCCTTGCCCTCGGCGGTGGCAGTGTACCTGGCCACTCTGGCAGTTTTCCAGAAAAGGGCATGCTGCAGCATCTGTCAACATGATAAAATGAAGTCTGGAGAGTGCATGGACAACCTGGGACCTCTTCTCTAGGGTCTCCACGTTTGCAGTCGCGATCGAACGAGGGCCACTCTCAAAGACAGGCACCCAAGCCCTGGTCACTTGTAGACCATGCCGTTGGGCTCGATGCAGAAGAGATCCGGCTTTTTTGACTCCTGCCCCCAGCAGCTTCCCTCACGCTGGCATCCTTAAGCTACCCTTCCAATTGCTTAGGCTGAACCTCTACGTCTTGCGATTAGGGGTCCTATAAGATGGCGCGTTTCTATGCATCTAGTCCTCGTCAACACAGCCGAGTAGGACTGCACAGCCAAATGGACGCACGGACCAGTACCTCAATGGGCTAACAACCTCATCCTGCCAGGAATGCTGGCTGAAAAGGCTTTCTTCAGCCGCAGACAGGGTGTAGGCGTGCATGAAGAGGCCCAAGCCTCACTCATCTCAAAACTATACTGTGTCTAAAAGTGGCCTGTACCTTGTTAGCAGAACATCACTTGAGCGGTGAAGACACAGGGTTGTCTGAGGATGGCTCGTTCAGCAAGGAGCTCTGGTGGCACCTCCTCACAATACCTGAAGCCGTTGTTGCCAAGGGACACACGTCACGCAGGCCTATGTCCATGTACACTGTCAGGGTTCTCGTCAATGACTCACATTCGAGACATGAATTGCCCACGCCAGGCCCGCTGCGCGTTGTGATACTGCCTTGGCATGTCACCACCACTCTCACTGATAGTGATGGTTTAAGAAGAGGCAGCATGCAGCCATCGCATCCCAGGGCAGGTTTTTGGCATCAGGTCCTGTTGCTGTCAGGTGGCGTTGCTTCCGATCGTGCCCGGCCTGGCCCGCAGCTATTGGAACGTGATGGTTGAGGTGAACATCGAGGAAGGTAGCAGCGCCAGGGCTCAGACTGACGATCTGCCGGGCATCCGCTACCATGCCAGCAATGGACATCCCAGCTCGCCGGTGAACCTGCAGCATTGTTCTTTGCCTCTGATAGCGCATATAGGTCAAAGCAATTAAAAAGGCTGGCCACTATGCTATCTGCATTGCTCAGCCCTCAACTGGAAATATCCGCTTGGCCGTGCCAGGTACCAACATCTTGGAGAGCCTAGGGCACAGGCAGCACACTCTCCGAAAGCAATCACCAGATTGCATTGTACCAAGTCATGACACTCCACACCCCTTCGGCCAAGACCACGCTGACAGTTTTCATGCTGAGCCCTTGACAGAAACTTTTCTGCTGCGAAGACCACACCATCCTGTGAGGTGATGCTCTCTAGTTCTTTTTGTATTTGTGTCCCTTTTCTTTGATATACATCTCGAGGCTGATTTTCCATAGGTAGTTGAACGGTTTGGATGGTGTGTAGGTTGCTTGCTCTCCCTCTTGTTAGTGTCACAGGGTTGGAGGATATCCATTTGCGGCTTCGGAATCTACACCAAGTCCTTCTCAGGGCCTTGGAGCTACTGTGAGGAATAGTAGTTTCCATTATCCCTATATAGCCCCAATATAATATAGTAGTTTCCATTTTATTTTCCATTATCCCTATATAACCCTTTAACACTTTCCTGTAGTCGCAACAATGGTGGTTTAGGGGTTTGAGGCTTGAGAGGCTCCTCCCAGGGGTCAAGGGCTCAGGGGGTCAGCGGTTGGGCGTTTAGGGGTTAGCTCTAAGGGATCTGGAACCCCAGTAGAAATCATAATTTCAGCTAAATATTAGGATTGTTGGAAACAGAAATTGACAATTACTTTCAGGAACCTTGTAGGTTAGGGGGTAGAGGACTTTCGGGGTTTATGCAAGCGGTCATGAGACTATCCAAGCGAGAGCGACCCGTGGATGATTACCACGTGAATGAATTTCAAACTAAAAGAAACTGAACATGAATATCCCTTTCTTCCAACTATTGCCCGGGGTTTGGGTTCCGGGGTTGAGGCTTCAAGGGGTTAGAGATTCGGGGTTTAGGGTGTAAGTTTTTGGTAAGTTTTCGGGCATGAGGTTTGAGGGTTTAGGGGCTTGGGGTTGTGGTTTTGGCGGGGGTTCCGGGTTTGGGCTTTCAGGGTTGAAGGTTGTTTTGGATTCGGGGGTTAGAGATCCTGGATTTGGGGTGTAAGTTTTAAGTTTCAATGGTTCAGGTTAGAGGGTTTGCAGATGAGGCTTTGGAGATGAAAGTTTGTGGGGTTTAAGGGTGTGGGGTTCCGAGGTTTAGGGTTTAGACGTTCAGGGTTGAAGAGTTTCGGGCATGGCGTTGAGGGTTTAAGGGTTTAGGGGGTGGGGTGCAGGATTCGGGGTTGAAGCTTTAGAGGCTTGGAAGCGTTAGGGGTTTAAGGTCCAGGATTTGGGGCTTTGGAGGTTTAAGGTTTAAGCATCTAGGATCTAGGGGTTCATGGGTCTAGGCTTTAAGGGTTCAGGAGCTTCACGTTCAGGGGCTGAGGTGGGTTTGTGAGGGGCTTACAGTAGTCGTTCAGGGTTGAGTGGTTGAGGGTTCCGTTTCGGGGTTGAGGAGGTCTATGGCTTTGGGTTAGGGGTCCAGCTTCGAGGTGTAGGTGTCTAGGCTTTAGGGGTTTAGGGTCGGGGGTCCAGGGATTAGTGTTGAGGGGTTTGGAGTGTAGAGTTTTGGAGTTTGGTTGTTTTGTGATTGCTTTCTACATTCTTTCTTTGTTTCTTTCTGCCGTTATTCTCATTATTATTCCTTATCCTCTTCTTCTCCTTGTTCTTCTCAGTATTAGGATTCTTCGTCGTTCTGCGTTCTGCGTTTCTTTTGCCACATCTTTCTTTGTCTGTTGCTTTGCTGCTTGCTTGCTGTTGTCATTCTGTTGTTTCTCTTGCAACCCTGCAGCATCCCGCACTGAGCAGGTCAGGGCACTCATTGTGTCGTTGCTTCTTGCTTTTCGTTCTGTGCATGTCCGTTGCGTTCACGCTTCTTGGATTCTTTTCTTCTCCACGAACACTGAACACCATAGAACAGCGAATACTAAACACAAAAAGGAAGCAAAACTGCCATGCCGCCATGCCCGTTGTGGATGACAAGGTGCTTGGCGAGCGCACATGGAAGCTTGAATGACTAGCTGCGAAACTAGGCAAGTTCGTTCGATTTGGGGTGCATGACAGTAGCTGAAGATGCTAGGAACCCTTGGTCACCTCGCAAAGTCAGTGGCACCTCACTGGACTCCTTAAGACTTCTAGGCCTATGGGACAAGTGTGGTGGATAGCCTGAGAGCTTTCTTCAAAGCCACAGCTGGCAAATGAACCCCGAGTCCTTGCAGCAAATGGCTAGGGTCGTGCCACTGTTCTCGACCGCTTTTCCGGCATACTCCACCTATGCGGCAATGCCATCAGAGCCATGCGCGCTAGCAGAGCAGGCTTGCAGAGCCTGGAAGACCCGGCCGTCAGGGGAGAAGGTGGTTACGGAAAGGTCGTAGCCGGCTCCAGTCCCGGCCTTGGCATTTCTCTGATCAAATGGCTCTGTGTACCTCTGTAAGTGAAGGCTCACAGTTGGGCTCAAGCCATCTTCCCGTAGTTGCCCTGCTGCCACAAGGAAGGGATTGATGATAGACAGCGTCTTGAGCCAAG